TTAAGTATTACAGCTTATCCAGAATTTTTCTAGGACGGATTTTTCGCGGTAATATAAAGATTAATAAATTTTTCCGGTGATCGCTCTCCAATCTCCATACATAATGAATAAGTTGTCCGTTAGATGGCGCTAGATAGTGAGCTGCGCAAGAGGCGGTCGCGTTCCTGGTCTCCTGCAGCACTCAGCAGCTGTACACTGGAGTGGGGTGAAGAGAGGAGCGAGAGAGCGAGGGCAGGGGCAGGCGGCGTCGTCTCTCTGCGCAGAGATCAGTCTGTTACTTGGGCCAGCAGCTAGCAGTTGTTGACTGGACGTCTATCGTTTCTGTTCGTTTGTGTCGCTGTAGCGGGTTTTCCTGTCGTGAGGGAGGCCATTATATATCCGAATAGTGCTGCCCCGCGAGTGTGAACACATATTACATACAAGGTACGGCGTGTTTTTTGTCGTGTGTTCGACTGAGTTAATTCAGATTAGCAGTCGTCACTGGTTAAATAGCGACGAGTGCGATAAAGTTTCGTGTCTGCCCAGCGAATACCTCCACGTCTCTACCGTATTCAATGTGTATGGCGAGTCAGGTTAGTATTAAGTTCTTTCTCGGCTCATTCAATGTCGCGCTATTGTACTAGTCAGGCAGCCGTAGCGGCTATCGGGATTCAGGGCACCAAAGCTATGTTGCGAGCGAGAGAGAAAGAGGCCGCGTGCCACGCTAGAAAGTCGATCGTCGACAACACTTAGGTGAGCAATTATTACCTATATATATATATATATATATATATATATACACGTGCATATATGTATATATATGTATAGTGCGCGTGAGTGCATATATACATATAGCCGAACTCCCTTTGCTGACTGGCTGGCTATAGATAGAACGCTTTTCCAATGTGCTCGCGTACTCGGCGAAACTTGGCCCTCCCTGACCCCAAGAGTAGTTAGGACGCGAGACACCGCCAAGTGTCGAGACAGCGACCGAGGCTAATACGGCCTGCCTGCCCTCGGCTCCCCAGGCTAGCTCCTTTATTTAGGTTATTGCCCCCTAGGCGTGCCAGCGCGCACTCTTGCCCAACCAAATCCCCTGCAACTCTCTCTTTTTGACCCTCGCCCCTCTTCCTCTGTATCCATAGCATCGTACCGGATTATAAAGCCGATTCTCCAGACTTATGTCTGCGTGTGGATTTTATGATCTTACTTCGAATTTAGAGTAGTGCCGACCTGACCCTCTTTTGCTGTTGAATTTGCCTCCGCAAAGTCGAGCGCTTTCAAGCGTTTGTTCTTCTCCGGTCGTGCAGGCCTTTGCGCGTGTAAAAATACGCGCTGATTCATGCCTACTTTTCAGCTAGCAGGCTGACGTGTCGGTTATGGCTTCGTAGCAGTCGTCAAAGTTTTATTGCAAGCGATAGCGTAGCAACAAGGAGAGACTGGCGCGCTAGTCAATTGTTGTTAATCGGTCGCCGCAAGACAGTCGCCGAGTAAATATCTATAATTGAAAGAACAAACGATCGCGCGGCGCGGTTTTTCCTAAACGTTTGCAATGTCAAGTTGAGAACGATGTGTGCGCAAGCTTCCCGCGGATATCATCGATGCAATCGCAGATTTAGCAAGATTATCTGCGCGCGCACTTGTATAGCCTACGATAAGATACGATGATACCGTAGAATCCTCTAATAAATCACTCTTGACAAATGTGTACTCGGAAGAAATAATTAAGCAAATGAACACGGGGGTTGCCGCTGAGCGGTACTTCTAACTCGAGTCAACAAGTGCGCGATGCTTTACAATCGTTCGATCGACTTTATTGCAGTTGATCATTTTTACGAACAGAGCCCTTTTGTGGGCGTCGCAGCGCTCTTCCAGTATTGTGAACTCGTGGATCAACGTTTTACCTTGTCCTTGTTTTCTATCAAGGACTTCTGCTCTCCTATGACTAATCAGTTGGTTGACTTTGAACGCGGTTCTCTACCATCTTGCATTTAACTTAGAAAAGTTGCAAGAAATAAAAGCGCAGCAAGAGCACGATTAAATAGACCTGCCGCAGTGGGCAGTGGGGACGAAGTCGAAGAAACAAGGAGTCCATCGATCGATCTGCGCAATTGTTTCCTCATCTGTTTGTCCGAGCGCCTCGTCGTCTCTTGCCCGTTGTTTTGTTTGCACGCGCGGCTTGCATTGTTCTCGTCGAGTCGTTGGACGGATTCTCCGTTTCTCTTATTAGCAAAACCAAGCGTACGTTTCAGCTTGTCTACCCGCGCGTAGTGCGGTTTGGCGATCAAACATGCCGCCAGCGACGTCGCGAATGCACCTCTTCATCGAAACTCTAAAACTTGTTGATCCCATTGCCGACAAACGGCAGCATCTCGAAAAGCACACTTATCTTTTCATCGTTGCTTTCCTGTTGTCTAGAAGCATGAACGTTAAATGCAGCGGGGGGTCGTGGCGTCCCGTCGCCGGCTAGCTGACCGCTATTAACCGAAGTTATCTGGAGCAAGCCGATGTTAGCTGTAATTGTCGACCCACTGGTAATGACCTAAAGACGAGGGTGACGGTTTCGGGAAAATCGGCCAGTCGCGGCAGCCTCGGAGCGTTGGCACGTTGCAGACTGTGGGCTGCAACGGGTAGTCGTGGAGGAGACGCTGCGGGCAGTTGGCACGGCGACGGCAGGACAAGCGGGGGGAGGGGGCGCGCGCGTGGCCCTGCGGGGCTGTCGTCGCGAGCGAGGCCGGGAGCCGCGGCGCGGCTGGGGGAGCGTTGAACGTTGCGAAAGGTTAGTGGCCCCGCGCGGCGGCAGGGCGAACGAGCAGCACAGCCGCGAGCGAGCGAGGAGAAAAGGGGAGGAGAGCGCGCAAGCCGAGCAGGTCGTCGACACGGACCTGCCGCCCCGTCGGCGCGGCCGGCAGGTCCGTCTAGACGGCCGGCCGGCTGCTCTCCTCCCGTGTCGGTCCGCGGCCCCTGCCCGCCAAACCAGTCCCGGCCCTCGGCGCGGCCTCATCCGCCGGCTCGCCGCCCCTCGCTCGGCGGCTCCCGAATCGGCGACCGCTGCCGCCCTACCCCGTCGACTCTCTCGCCTCCGGCCTCCGACCGCTGACTCGCGCGCTCGTCCTCGCGGCAGCGGGGCACTTACGCGAGCGTCGCGCCCTGACCTACTGACCCAGATGGGGAGCCGCTATCGATCGCACTCGGCCCTTCGCTCGCCCTCGTGCCTCGCCGGGCGTCGCGCGCGTCCCTGGAGCCTATTGCCAGGGTGCCGGCCCGGCGCAACGGGTACTCGTCGGCTGCGATCGGGAGCGGCGGGTCGGCCCCTCGTCCGACGAGAAGCGAGGAAGGACTCCCGCCGGCTCCATCGATCGCGCCCGTGACATTGATATTTTTGCACTCGACGGCAGGAGCGCCGTGCGGATAACTTCGCGTTCGAGGTCTTCATCGTAGCGTCTAGCGGTTAATGCCGAACTAACTTTAGATTTTCGCAAGCTGCTTAGTTGCCTTGAGCAGCCTGATCAATGAATTATTTTTAGAGTCACGCAGAGCCGAGCGGAAGCGCTGCTGCTCGCGCAGCTATTTCTCATAGTCGAGTAGCTCGGGAGCACGAGCGTTCGATTTCCGACCACCTTCGCAGCTCCCATGGCGAACCGGTCTCGCGGCTCGCGAGCATCTCCTCGATATCGTCGCTTTCTCCGTGGTTCGCGAGGCGCCCGCGACGCGTTCTGGAGGCCTTCGGCGAACGTGGCCGCAAAGGTGCCCGGAGCCCAACCTTGACCCCGGCCGCGCGAGTGGGCGGAAGGAGCCCGCGGGCGCGCACGACCCGGCCGGCCGAGAGCCGCGCGAGCGAATCGGCTAATGGCGGCGCTCCATTGGAAGCGAACAGCTGACGTCAGTCGACGCGGCGCCGAGCCGGTCGGGAGGGGCCGCAGCCTCGGCGGCGCTCGGGCGCGCGCAGTGCCACTCGCGCCGGGCGCCCGACGGACGGACACCAGCCCCAGCAGCGCGTGAGTCCCAGCAGCTTCGCCGGCCCCGGGCCGCGCGAGCGCGTCGCAGCCCCCTCCCGGAAGCCCCCGTCCGCGTGCCGAGAGAGGCGGCGCCCCGGGGACGATCGGCGAACGCAGCTGGAGGCGCCGGTCGTCTCCGGAGAGGCTCTGCGCCGCGGAGGCCTTGGGCCAGTAGCGACGGCAGTGTGCGCGTCGCCGATGGAACGGGAGCGCCGAGCGAAGGAGGAGAGGTGTCGGCGTGACGCGAGCAACGCGGCCGAGCAGCTGCTCGCACGCGCTGCCCAGGCGTCACGCGCCTTCCGGCGAGAGCCAAGGCTGCTGCTGGAATATGCAACTGCGAGTCGCTCTCGTCCTGTCTCTCGTTTTACGTAACGCCTCCGGTCTTCCGCTTTCGGCCGACTCTGCACTTTGTCCTGCAGCGCGCACGCACGCGCATAATGTTTGAGTAATGCTTGGCTGCACCTAGCAGCCAATTACAAAACAGTTGTTGCTCTGCCAATCGTAGGTGCGAGCACGTCGGTTACGTAAAAGATGAGCGATGCCCGTCGATAGCAGCAGTCGCCGCCGCCGCCGCCGCCGCCGCCGCCGCCGCCGCCACCCGTTTTTGTTATAATAATAAACGACGCCCCCCAGCCGAAACTGCGTTTCGCGAGTCAGCGTTGTGCCGTGGTCGCAGGCGTTTCCGTGCAGCAACCGACGGAGTTTGCCTGAGTCTCGCCGCAAGCACAAGTTGCGTCCGTCGATCGTCCAGTCAGTGTCGCACGCGTGAGTTTGGTACGCCTGGCCGTGTGCGCGTGTGCGCATCTTGCAGTCCATCGCGCGAACCGGGAGCAAGTCTTGGCGGCGGCGGCGGCGGCGGCTGGATTAGTTGTATTCGAAGGCCCAGTGCAAACGTCACTCGTCGTTCCACGCGATTCACTGGTCCCCGCTCGAGGGCGCAGGCGCGAATCGGATCTTCCGGCCGGCAGTGTCAATTGGTCGGAGCATTGTCTGTAGGTTTGTCTTTGATAAGTGGAGGCAAGGTTTATTTGACACCGCTCTCTCGGCAAATGCCAGAGGCGCTGCGCTAATCAGCGCACTCGTGCCAAAGCTTCTTGTTGACACAAACACCGCATCGCGATCGTATTTCTCGCGGCAGACACACAACTCGTACGACGGAATACGAGTGTTTGCAGAAGGAGCGCAAGATTGCACGTATCTTTGCGCGCGTGCTGCCGGCTTGTTGTTTGCTTCGTTGTTTTGGGCAGAGAGCAGCGGCGGGGCCGCGGGGCCGCGCGACGCGCGACGCGCCAGCGAAATACTTGGCGAAAACAGTGGATAGCTCTGTTGCTCGGGAGCGTGTACGCCCGGACTCGGTGCGCAGCGCTTGAGGCAATCGCGAGCCTCGGGCTCTCGTCGATCAATTATGCGAGGAATGGCTGTCGGGCGCCCGACCGACTGCCAGATCTGCGACGCACGTACGGCACGCCTGTCGACTCGTCGTGGGATGTGCGCCCGGTCGGACAACACCAAAAATATCCAAACGCTTTGTCTTTCTCGTTGGCACGTGTGAACGCGCGTACAAGCAACGCTCTTGCCCGCGAGAGCAAAAATAAGCAGCGACGTAGCGCACCGCCTAATTGCGCATCACCTCGGCTTCTTTCAACTTGACCGTTTTATACGCGCGGCCATTGCAATTCAGCTTCGCCTATGCACCCATAACCGGATTTTTACGCATTGTAGGGCGCCGATCAGGCTTATTTTTGAGAAACAGAGACGCGGAGGGGGCCACGAGATATTTTTAATCGCCTGCGCGTATAGGTATCGAGAGAGTGAGAAAGTGAGAGAGCGAATACGCGTGACGCGGTTAGTTAACATGCAGCAAACGCGATACTAACGCTTTCATTGATTAGTGCGAAATTTTGACTGATTGCAGTTTCCTGGTGAGTGCATCCTCACATACATGGAGTTTCAGCTGGACAGCGCAGAATATTGCCAGGCTCAACACAAATAAAGGGACTGACAGTGTTTACAGCTGGGAGGGAGAGACGAGAGCGACGCAAGACGCGCACGACTGAACAGCAAGACCCATCGCAAGTGAGCTGTTGCCGCTGCTAACAAACACACTTTGTCGGATTGGATTTCCAGAGAGAGAGAGAGAGAGAGAGAGAGAGAGAGAGAGAGAGAGAGAGAGAGAGAGAGAGAGAGAGAGAGAGGGAGAGAGAGAGAGTGTGCAAACGAGTGTATGAGTGAGCTACAGCATGTCGATCCCTTAAAAGACGCATACGCAACGCAACAGAGCCAACTCGACTTTTGAATGTGCGCTGATAGTGTACGATCCAGATATTAAGACTTACGTTCGTAATCCATCATCATAAGCTAGTCATTGGCCAGCGAGCAACGTCGCCCATTTGCCAGTTTGCATTGCTTTGCCAGCTACATTCGAGCATCACCTGCATTCTCTCATACCCACTTGCCTTCCCGCTTTGCAGCTTTTCTTTCCTCGAATCTAACGGACAACGAAAAACGCTTAGCTACTGACAGCGACCCTCCGAAACAGGAGTTGTCAGTGCCAAATAGGTGAGTTCTCGCCTCCTCCTCAACTCTGTGCATTCGCTATTCTTGCTTCTTAACACTTCTATTTTGCTTTCGCTGCAGCTTAACTTTCATCACCTCATTTTTTCTCCGTTTCTTGTCATTGCAGATAATCTTCCGCAACAGCGAAGCATCCCGAGTAGGAAGCAAGTGCAGTCAGACAACGCCTGATGTAACCTAGCTCCAAGCACTTTCCAGCGAAAGTTTGCCATCCCTTAAACCCTTATCTGGATCTAGATGTGAGCCCGCCGTTCTATCCTCTGTGGAAAAAATAACAAGTATTTTTTATGAACAGTCCCGCATCGACGAGCAACACCCCGAGCAAGACTGACATCTATAGGCTAACTTGTTTTGCGACGCCGCTCTCTTTTTTTCCTAGCTTCCTTCCTTCCAATCATTTTTTTCATCGTTTTGCCATCCTGCCAATCATTTGAATCACTCAAAATTCAATTTCTACCATTGTAACTCTCGAGATAACCCCGACGAATTCGCTCCACTGGGCGGTCAATCGTGAAAAATACATTTTTTTCTACCGATTGTCGTTCACAAGGAAATGAGCAACATGAGGGTTAAGGACATAAGACCAGCTCCCGCTGAAATTGAATACAAAGGCATGAAGTTCCTCATTACCGATCGGCCCCATGATCAAACTATGAGTACTTTCATCCAAGTAAGTATCATCCACTTTCACGCTGCTTGCAAGCTTCCTTTATTAACCGCCTCTCTCTTGCATATTTTTCAGGAGCTCAAAAAGCACAATGTCAAGGAGGTAGTTAGGGTATGCGAGCCGACGTACAAGGTCGACGAACTCAAATCAGAGGGCATTAATGTCATCGATTTAGTTTTTGATGATGGAACCTTTCCTCCAAACGAGGTAAGTTTCACTATTAATGAGCTACTTATGTAAAATTATTAGTCCAGCCAGTGTTGTAAACTCCAAGCATTAGGCTCCGTTTTTCAAACGTTTAAATACCGTTCGTTTTTGAGTATAACTAAGACAACGGTTGTACAAATATTTTGACAATCTGTAACATAAATGCATATATTTAATGAAAACGTATTTCATATCGTTACAAAGTTGTTAAAGGAAAAGTCCACGGTGGCTATTGACTATAATTCATCCAATATGATGAGGTTGTCGAGTTTGTGTTAACATTTTGTTACCAATTACAAAAACGTGTGTTAATTGATCTTGAAAAACAAAAATATAGCATTGTAAGGAATCATTATAAGAAAGCCGGGCAGTTGCTTTGGGCAACTAAAAATCTGCCATACATTAAGAAATAGCTGTTACAAGATTAGTTGACGGGTCTGAATTAGCCTTTGAACAGTAGGATAACGGCGCTGCAATAATAATTAGAATAATTATTTAGCTAGATGGTTTTTGACAGTACAGTGAGCTTTTTCCCCGTCGTCTGAAAGTTTCGAAGTTGAAAAAGTAGCGTTGCAGAAACATTATAAAAACAGAGCTTGCATCTTGAGGTCGGGATAATGTAGATAGATATAGGTATAGTTGAAGGTCACATGAGGTCGATACGTTAGCTCAGTCGGTAGCGCGCCCAACTGTAATTCGGTCGGATCGAGTTCGATTCCCACGCGGGGGTAAAGTTTTGAAGTGAAAATTTGGCGAAGTATGTAGGTTAAATGAAGCACACTCCTTAGATCCATCTCTGCCATTCTTAAGAGATGCTTGAGTCATTGGTGTGCAAAAATACGCAATAATTTCTCTGTGATCGGATTTCTCCTAGTCGTTGACTGGACAAGGAGATAAGATTATAGAGAGAACAAGCTTTTTGGTCTGCTTGATCACTGATGAGGTTGAGCTAATGTGGAATGGTTTGCAGGTGATCGACGACTGGTTTGAGCTGGTAAGGAATCGATTCCGGGAGACACCGGAGGCCTGCGTGGCTGTGCACTGTGTCGCCGGACTTGGCAGAGCACCTGTCCTCGTGGCACTGGCTCTGATAGAGCTTGGCCTCAAGTACGAGGACGCCGTGGCTCTAATCAGAGAGTAAGTTCTATTATACTATGCTCGAGACACGCATCACCCACTTCTTTCTCTTATCAATTGCTAATTCATCGATGCCTATCTTTGCGTCAAACACAACGTTCCTGAAAGCACCGGAACGAACTTTTCCTTTCTTCCTTCCATTCTCGTTCGCTTGTCGTTTGCTTGTCATTCCTTCTATTAATCGCAAATTTATTGACTTTCCAGGAAGAGACGAGGCGCTATCAATGCCAAACAGCTGGCCTATTTGGAGAAATATCGTCCCAAGTCTCGACTCAAAATGAAAAACGGACAGAAGAACTCCTGCTGCGTTCAGTAAACGATTCAGTCGCTATTCCGAGCGCATCCGTCATTGATTGCCGCTTTGGCACATACACCTCATTACACTTAGACCTACATGCCTGACGAAAGCGACATTACCTTGTAACGTTTGCAGTTACTTATTATCTCTATCTAGCCTGTCAATGGAAATGCAACCATTTCGTCTCTTCAATTTTGACCATTGGCATTTGATTCTAATCGTGCTAAAATTTCTATTATTTCTAGTTTGTAGTTTATGCGGCTAAGTTTTATTTTTAATAAGTGTATTCATTTATTTTCTCGCGCGCGTCTAATGCAGCGAATTCTCATGTCTGTTTTGAGATATACGTCGAGAAACAAATGCCGTGTGTATAATATTTATCAATCTAGACCGTTCACTCAAATAACATCAGATAAAGTATGTCTATTATACTTTGAGAACGATCATTGTATTTGTTGCAAATTTATACTCTTGCAATCAATTATGCGTCGAATTTTCACGTTGTCTTTATTTTTATATCTTATTATTTTACATTAAAAAGAAAAACAAAAGTTCGCCTAGGACTATTTTATCTTTAATTATTGTGCAATCTGTTTGATCAAGCATCACAATTATAAACCGAGTGTTGAAATATTTCGTTGTCGCTCACTTATCCAGGCACAAGTAATAATAATGTATTGAGCGATTTTTTAGCAATGCGTTGCATTTCCAATGGTCAGACTTGACACAGTAAAAATTCGTAATTATGAAAAAGCAAATATATATATATATATATATATATATATATATATATATATATATATATATATATATATATATATATATATTAACACGTGTTACTGGAACGATCAAATTTCAAAAAACTAGATAACAACTAAATACCACAAATTTGTAAGTCACTCCAGAGTTACGATGTATCAGTAAATAAAACTACACTGGCTCATTGGCTATTTTCTTGAAGCGTTTGTAATATCTTCCTTATTTACATAATTTTTTTATATCTATTTTCGAAGACAAGCTAAATAAAATGAAAAAACTAATAGATTTAGAGTGGACATTATCACGTTTCACCGATCAACTTTGATAAAATTGTCAATAGAGCTAATCGCCACACTCAACTGTGTTCAGAAAAATATGTCACGATAAAATTCATTTTTAACAAGTCAAAAATTGTATTAATAGGAGAAATGAAATCGAGTTGATTAAGTTTTGTTCGTGTGTTGCAAAAAATATAATAATTCAATAGCTTGAAATGCTTAATCTTGTTTTAAATTATTTTCATTTCTATTAAATTTATACCATCATAATCCAAATATCATATTGAGGTACTGACTAATATGTATATTTTCATTATCTATTGTTAAATGATATATTTCAAGATTAACATAGAAATACGTAATTTTAAGTGCATTCTATTACAATATGAATTATTATATTTTTGCAACGTGAACATGACATAAATTTTATTTCATTTCATAAAAATAAAAACTAATGCTGAAAATTAGTTCCATGCAACTCTTGTTTTGTAAAATTAAAATATACAAAAAACACTGCAATATTTTTTACCAGAGGATGGGACGAGGGATGTTTGTTAAAATAATGAAATGAAACATGTGGATCCCCAGATCCGAAATCAATTATATGTTAATCCTAATAACTATTGATCTTTGCCTTAGTTAAATTGTTTTGCGATACTATTTGCGTATAATATGAATGTATTTTGTATAATGAAATGTCTCTTGCTTTCACACAAAGTAAAAGAACCTTGTGATTTAATAATTACACCTGATTAAACTCTTTTCTTCAAGTTACCATTTCTACTTTCTTAAAATAAACGAATAAATAAAACAAAATTGCCAATTAACGTTTCTTCGAGATGTATTCTATGAATAAATTAATCAGAAAACGTCGTACAAACTCATAATACTCGTCTGTGATATATTTTTAATCAAGCACCTGAAGAAACTGAAGGAAAAAATATTATTTTCTTTCATTTCTTCCACTAGACATATTGGTCAGATTTATCTAGCTTAATGCCACCAATACACCTGCTTGCATACATCATAGCATGCCAAATATTGGCCGAAAAACTACGTACAACTTAATATTAACGAGTTTAAATGCACTATTTTAATGTTATTGTTAAAATTTTTCATTTATTCTACATATTTTTGTACTACGTACAAGAATCGCTCGAAGAAACGGTTACTGCTAGGATTTCAAAAATTTCATAGAATTTATGTGACTTTGTTGAAATTACGTATTTATTTTGTATTTTTTTTCATTGGCGCTTGGATAATATATTGTTGCACGCAGTTATAGTTGCAATATTATGCTAAGTGGCTGTTTTTCCAAGTACATGTAATTATTTTGAGGTGTACATGTTATTCGAAAAAAAAAACTGCCAAGTAAAGTGGAATATTCATTTCAATAATGACGGTCATATATTTTTTTGCCTTTCTTTTCCAAGACAAATGATTTATAAACAATCGACGTGTATGTACATACGTACATACTTCTATCTACGTACGTATATATACCACATTATGTAGGTGTAAGCAAATGAAATTACAAGCCCCCCTCCTACCAGATACTATATATATGTATATATATATATACCAATCATACAAATACGTGTTGAAACAGGCATCTGTTGACCCATGATTATTCTTTGATGGAGTGAAATTGACATTCGACATTTATGATAAAAGATCTTGTGATATGTAATTTGTGCTAAAGCAATTTTGGATGATTTTAGAATCCAAAACGATCTAGACTTTTTTTATTTTTCTGAGAATCGTCCGCGCTTAATCTTTTAGTACACATGAAAAAGTACTTTTAATGAATTTATTGAATCCTAATTTTCGCTTCATCACAGAATAATTAAAAAGCAAAAATCGTCTGTACTTGACACATATTTATATTGTATACATATTGGGAAGAACCTTAAACATTAAATATAGATCTATTTTAAATTAAAAAAAGGAGTATAATAGCTCATTTTATTCTTATGTGACTGAAGAATTACGATGTTTTAAACATAATATAAACATAAATGTATCGATCAACAGCAAAAGTTTCACCATTATACATAATTCATGTGTATTTTATTTTTTAATGTAATTAACACTACTGCTTCATGCGCATCAATTAGTTTATTGAAATAAAACGTATCTTTTTTGTTATATTGTAAACGTTATCATGAATAAAAATAAGTGGATGTCATTTTGTGATGAGCTCGAATATTCCTTACGAACAAGGTCATAAAAAGATACTTCTTTCTAATAAAATCGTACTTTATTTAAAATATTCAACTTTTTTTAATAAAATCTTTTGAAGCAAATAAATATAAAATAATTGTTCTTTTACATAAACATATCGTCATAACCAGGAGGAGGCATATGATCAGGGTCTGGACCTAAACGGCTATAGGCTGCAATATCTGGTGGACCAAATGGATCATATCTAGCTCCAGGAGGGATAGACGCTCTAACAAAGAAATAATTAATTGTTATATGCATTTTTTCATATATTTTTAAATAACATTTTGAGACTTACAGTGGTAGTCTACCAGGTACACCAAGGCCAGGATAAGCCGGTCTTGGTCTTGGACCAGAAAAAGGATTAAATATCATTCCTCCTTGTCCTGTTCCAAATGGATTTAGATCATCTCGACCTATCCCAAAAGGACTCATTCTTGGAAGCCTAGTAAAGAAAATTTCCAAACAAACTTAATACAAAAATGAAATTACCTAGATCTTATATCTTTTTTAATTAGTTGTACTGCTTTGACAAAATAGGAAAATAGAAATTTAGATAATATACCTAATGAGATAAAATAAGGATTTCGAATAGGTCAGGAAAAGAATTTCAAAAAGGAGAATATCGCCAAAAATTGTGCTGCTCTAACATATCAATATCATGCGACATCTGTAAGAGAAGAAATGATTAGTTAAGAACATTACCCCGGTATTGTATCACCAGCAGGTCTGTGTGGTGGTCCTACCCTCAAAGGATCATCATCATCATCACTCCTTTGAGGTCTGTCTGAGGTGTCTGATGTTTGTGTTGAAACTTCATGCCCTGTTCCTAAATACACTGGTTCAACAAGATCTTTTTTCAGTGTTTTTAAAATTGTTTCATAATTTGGTAGAATTCTATTCAAAGGGCCTTTAAGTTCTTTAACAGTTTCAAGTGGGAATTGAACATTTGACACACTGTGATCTTCTATTCTCTAAAAACATATATACTTGATTAGATCTAGAAAATTAGAGATTAGAGAAAAATCAACTTATCTCAAATTACCAATAAATTTAATAACAAAATTGCTTCTGATTTTATGCCAACTAAAATATACAGTTTTCCTTCTCTTACATATCGTAAAGTGTAATTTGGCTTGTTGTTCCATTCATCCGGTAACAATTCTGATCCAATTTCTGCAGGATCAATTGTTTTCTAAAATTAAAGTTTTAATTAATACATAAATCTAAGAAATAAAAGAAAAACTAATTTCAATTGTCCATTGCTATGGAAAATATAAACAAGAAATATGATTGTTATTTAAGGTTATGTAATATAATTTAATGTAACATTAAAGTTGTTTTTGAAATATTTAGCTTTGATAAACGATATTCAATACATTGAAACTTAAAACTAAAAGTAAAATCTTATAAAATTGATTGAAAACTATGATGACTTACAGAATCTCCAATCCCCAAACACTTAAATCCATTTTTAATAAAATACCAATGTACAAAGACAATTAAAACGTCTTCTTTTTTATGTATTTGATCACTAAAAGCTTTGTAAAGTAGTTCAAAACCAAACATATTTTCTAGTTCAACTGACATTTTTTGGCGTTTTAACGTTCGAATGACGATACAATTTTTAGCGTCATTTCAATCTTCCTCTGTGTGTAATTGTACTGTAGCGACGTACTTTGAAAGAAAAGGTATGCAACTTAGGCTGCTCTTACATGAGAGCGGAAAGCGGACAGAGCGGCAGCGGCTGACGCTCTCCGCTGCATCCCTAGCCTGCGTTTTACGTGGTGCATCCCTCTTCCCCCTCGCCTCTTATTAATAGCATCCCTTTCTATTATTCTAAACATGATATAATTATAATTTTCTTATATATATATACATGTGTATATATAACATATATATATACATATAACATATATATATGACATAAATTAATATTGTCGAGAAAATTATAACTTTCTTATATATAATATGTTATATATAGATGTGTATATATAACACATATATATATATATATATATATGACATATAAATTAATATTGTCGAGAAAATTATAATTATAACATGTTTAGAATAATAGAAAGGGACGCTACAAATAAGAAGAGAGGGGGAAGAGGGATGCACCACGTAAGACACCGGCTAGGGACGTAGCGGAGAGCGTCTGTCCGCTAGCGAACAAAACTTTCTCTTTTTGTCCGCTCGAATCGGCTGTCCGCTTTCCGAGCAGCCTTAACCTGTCATCTCAGTGTCTTAAATTAGAGATCCACCGACATCTAGTAAAACGAAACGAAAATATATTGAAATTTTTTGTAGACATAGTTACTTGATCGAACTCTCTCACGAAATTTTTTGTAACTTTATTTAAATTGATTTGATACTGTAACTGAAAATTTTGTAAATAATGTTAAATGAAAATAGTAGTTTAATAGATAAACAAAAGATTATCTGATACATAATATGGTGTTTTTCAATTGTTTCACTTGTAAATATATTGTTCGAATTTTTACATATCTACCACAATTTTATAGATTTTATAAAATCCAGCATTATCATATAAATTGAAATTTTTCATTCACAAAGTGAGGCATACAAATAGAATTCAATTGTTTTACATGCACGAGAATAAAAATAATGTTAATTTATTTACAAATTTGTACAAAAAAAAAGAAGCTTCTATCTTGAATACTTTTTAAATATTTCCTGTAAAAAAATCTAAACATATTCTAAATTTCAGAATTTCAATTTATAAAAATTTTGTTTAATTTGGAATATATTTCAATTTGAGTCGTCGGTTTCCTGGTCATAGATACTTGGAGTACTGATTGGTGACATCAATCCCTCAATTTCCTCCTCGCTTTCGGGCTGACTCCGTTCCTTACTATCTAAAGCAAACCGTCTCCATGGTATCCTAAAATTTAAACAAACTTTAACTCAAAATATTTAAAGTTCAAGTAAAATTATACCTTTTTTTCGTGTCAAAGCATTCTTCAATAAATTTGTGGTCAATGATTTTACAATGTCCTTTTAATATCTGGAATTTTGGGGTGTTTTTGAAAGCACAAATCAAATGTGTACACTTATTGTTAGTTATATTAGGATCTGCAATGTACTTTGCACCCATTTTCAGGGCTTTTCTTCGTATTTCATCTCTTTGTGGATTGGCATACCCACTTAGAGAAAATGAAATATCCTCAAAAAGCTTTTTAAATTCTTTTTTTGGTTTAGGCTTTTTGACAACTTTTTTTGTTATACCCTCAACAGTGACCTTTGGTTCAGGCAACATGTTGCATGTTGAACACAATTCGTCTGAGTCCAATTGGCACAAAGAACACAGAACTTTTTTAGTTACTGATGAGTTATGCTGCGAAGAATTCTTTGGACTATACATTCTTTTTTTTAAATTATTGCTAGTATTGCAATCTACATTCTTAATTGCCTTAGGGCTTGGTATAACATCTCCAAACAATGTTCGATTAACTACTGTACTAGTTTTACTATTCTCATTTGAATTTGTTTTTTTCACTGTACTATAAGATGAACCTGGACAATAATAAATATAACATAGTATCATATTATATCGACATTATAATATTATATATATTATAATATTATATATATTATAGCTATATAGTGACAATAATAAATCATAAAGATCAAGTTAGAAAATAAATAATTCTAGTTTGTAGAAAAAGATTATTGTACTATCAAACAATAATTACCTGGTTTTGTCTCGTCAAGAGCATCAGCTTCTAGTTGTTGTAAAATTGGTCTTTTGTTGGGTATACTAGTTTTTTCTTGCTTTTTATCAAATTTATTCAAACCTATCTCAGTGATTTTTTCTTTTAAATCTTTTTTATAATTTTTATTTTTTCCAAAAAGTTGTAGATATTTTACTTTAAAATCATCTAACTCATCTTCTTTTTTTTCTTTTAATTTGAAACGTCCAAACACATCTAGTCCCAAATCTAGAGTCACTTCAGTTCTCAGAATAATAAATTCCAATCCAAATACTTCTCTTGGATTAGCTGATTGCATACATGTGGCTTTGACTCTATCAAATTTTATTTTTATTACGTCAGGATTGAGCTCTCGTTTAGTGAATATCTGCACTTGATCTCTGAATTTACTGTTAATTGCTTCATCATGTGATAGAAATCTATGATTGATAATAGGTATCCATTTATCTGGTTCACTGGATGAAGAAGCTTCAACAACTACAATACATGAACGATAGTTTCCTATATCCAATCCAGTTATACAAGATGGTTCTACTAATTGGAATATTACTGTAGCAATAACTTCAGTTGGCTTAAGACAACGCCATGATGATTTTGGAGGATGTTCTAGGAGATTAGTAGCTGGATATTGCGGATGTTCTGAAGAACAATTAATTATCCTCGATATTTTAATTATCATGATTCATTCTTCAACCCTTAACTAAAATTTTAAATGAAAATTAATTACAAGAAAAGATATATTAAAAAATATTACCTTAGGTTGATTTCCAAATATGTATGTACAAATTATTTTGAAACTCTTTCCTGTGGTTAATTAAAATATTCACTTAATTTTTCAATAATACTCGTTTAGAAATTATTACACATCTGCATGGTTCACCAACATAACTTCTCAATAGCTAGACAATATTTTATTGTATATCATTTTATATATTCAGCCAAAAATGTAATTGGCTTTGAGATTTAAATTAATTTCTTTTGTAACAATATATAAATGATAATAAAAATAAAAAATAAAGAAAATACCACTGACGGAACTGAGATGACTATGTTGTAGCTATATAGTGAGAACTGAGAAGTGACTGACATCAAAACAATCAGAGTGAGCCCAGCGGGAAAAGAGAACCGGGAAAATCGGAATAGACCTGGTAGGGGTCGCTAAGGGTCTGTCTCCATAGGGCCTGCCTGAGTCCGTCCGAGCCGGCCGAGATTTTTTATGGGCACGCCATCTCTATAATTTCGTGTTCATACGTTTCTCGTATTGGCTGCGTCCGATCGGGCTCGTTTATGTAAACGCAGCCATTCACTATGAAACTCGCCATTGGATACGAAATTATAGAGATGGCGTGCCCATAAAAAATCTCGGCCGGCTCGGACGGACTCAGGCAGGCCCTATGGAGACAGACCCTAATAGTAATATGCGGTAAAACAATCTGCTTCACATCACAGTCTACACTACTACACTCCGTATTTCACGGTTATGCCGCCGCCGGTCACGCTCTGCCTTCCATTCATTTGTCGCTTCATATAATCGCAGGATCCTTTAGTTGATTGTGGTACAACGCTAACCTAAAGAAATATTTGTGTATTCAAATATTTTTATTAAAGAAAGTAGAATCCTACAAAATGTCGTACAAGGGTCCACAAAAAGTCCAGAAGGTGATGGTACAACCCATCAACCTTATATTTCGTTATTTACAAAACCGCTCACGCGTTCAAGTTTGGCTGTTTGAAAACATCAATTTACGCATAGAAGGACACATTGTCGGCTTCGATGAGTACATGAATTTAGTTTTGGATGACGCTGAAGAATATCATGTAAAATCAAAAAATAGAGTACCTCTTGGACGTATAATGCTGAAAGGTGATAACATAACATTGATTCAGAACACAAATCCTGGTGGAAATTGAAAAAGAAAATACAGTATTCTACAAATATCACAAAATCTAAAACTGAATTAAGAGTAAGAAAGTAATTTACTCATTATTTGTATAAAATAATGTTAAGAAACATAATTGTTTTTCATTATTTATTTCTACAAGAGAACCAACTAATAAATACGAGAAAATGATAAAAGGAAGAATAAAAGTAAGATTATACTTCAATGACAAGAGTGTAATGAAGAATACAGCAGATGTAAAAAGTTAGCATAAAAATTATTTTATATGTCAAACAGCATAAATGTAAACAATATAATTTTTTACATCACTAAATAATTGTATACTTATTTACTAAGTCCTTGCATTTTTTCATCGTCCTTAAATTTACATTAAGTAACTTTAGCATTATTAAAATGTTTTTATATATGTAGATATACTTTTTGTTTCTTTATAATATTTTAATTTAAATAAAAAAACTAATATAATAAACAATTACTTGATGATTGGTTTGTTCTCCGTTATGAATATATGCTTACTTCCAAATATTTAGATAACTAAGGAAGTTGAATAAAGATATAAGTATAATAATCTTTGCATGATTAATTTTTAAAATTTAACACATGTACAACAAGAAATGGATCTGTTTAAGAATGAGATGTCAATTTTTTCAATGCTGTATTTTATTTAATTTACTCTATATATTTTCTTATATGAAATATTACAACTTCAGGATTTCTATACTGATTAAAGATTTATACATTTTCTGTGTATATGCTATTATTTAAATCTTAATACTAAAAAAATTGCAACATAATAGTCTTATAGTAAAATCACAATAAGTAAAATTTGAAAGCTTGCAATTCTACTATTTCCTTTTTTCCAATTAGTCAATTAAATTAAATATATTAAATGGCAAGGAAAAATTAAACTACACATTTCTAGGTTTGTTTTTATTTATTTTATACAGTAAAAATTAATTTATCTTATATTACTTTTTTTGTGCTGCAGCAGCTTCATCTTCACGCTGATACGATTGCAAAAGTTCTTGTTTCTTCGAGGCGATACGCTCTGCCCGACGCTTCCGTGCTTCTCGGACTTTCGTTCTTCGAGCCTCAGCTTGATCAGACAACATTTCTGATCTAGCTTTTTCAGCCTTCTTCTTATGGATAAATTCCATAAGGACTCTTTTATTCTTGAAAACATTACCTTTCGCTTTCATGTATAATGCGTGGTAGAGATGTCTGTCTATCTTTTTCGTCTCTCTGTATTTTTTGAGTAAGCGACGAAGTACTCTCATACGCTGAATCCACAAATCCTGAAAAAAACATTCCATGATTTGTATCCTGTACACTTATTTTTTTCATTTATTCATAGACATGGCTTTGTTTAGTTGCTCTTTAATAATTTACAGTTATTAATGTTAATTTTATCATGAAAATGAATTTACTAAAAATATATGCAAAATATTGAAAAAAAAAAAATTTGATTGTGAAATCAAAATCAGATGCAAATTATAATATATTAAAATTCAAAGGAAGCTTCAATTTAAAATCTTTATAATAACAGGGCTATAATTATTGTAGTAACTTACTTTTTGTGGAGTACGGGCATTGGCAGTACCTTTCCTCTTACCAAAACCACAGTGACGACCTTTACGCCTGGCCTCAGTATTTTTACGTACTCGCGCTCTCGAATGAACTGCCACAGGTTTTTTGATGATCAAACCATCTTTGATCAACTTGCGAATATTTTGGCCTATAAATAAATTGCATTTATTTAGGTTTTAAACGTAGTATTTTATACTTGCTCCTAGCATGAAATTATCATGTGAACTCACGTGAGTTGGTGTTGGCAATTTCATTAATTTCGTTAGGGTCCAACCAAACTTTTTTTTTGCCACATCTCATAACGGAGGCGGCTAGCCTTTTCTGCAATTTTAACGAACTGGAAAGAAAGGTTATATTAATATTGCTCTATCGTGATACATGCAAAAGCAATGTATAACCAATACATAATTAACACAGACCAAATAAAATGGCGATTATTATTAATATAAACATTTTAGAAGTAATTGGTGCAATTGGAAAAACTAGTTTTGAAAGTGTATAATTTTGTGAAGTACACCATGTGGTATAATATGAAACATTTTAACGAAATATAAAAATAAAAGCATTTCCTTCTGGAAAGTACTTAGTTTCACATGAATTAGAATGCTGACAGTAAGCTTTTCAATCAATTACAAGGTTGCACATCATTGTTTTTATGAAAATTTTTAACAATTTATAAAATGAAATACCTCATAATGGCAACTCCTCAAGTCGTCCGCAATAAAGAGAATTAAAATGGTTGAATCCAGAGTTTCACTTTTTCCTACAACGCAAGTCAAAACTTGATGTCAAAGGGCGCGACTTTCAAAAATTACTATGTAGATTGCGTATGTACATACATGATATCGCAATATGTATATTTTTCTGAAAAAGGGCTTATCATTTTTCATAAACATACTATAAAATAGCAAATACTATATAATTATATGTTTAATGAGATGTGGGAGGTGAACGTTAATCAGTAACTCTCTATTCTTTTCAACGTTTCGCTGATTATGTTGTCAGCCACTTTAGGTTACTAAATTTATTAAACAAAGTTATTTTTTAATTATACTTATGGTTATAAATTCATTATATACTCGCGCAATGAAAATTAAATTTGGCTTACTAAAAATCATGTCCTTTAAACGTATATCTGTTGTAAAACTACGTTATCAAATTAATACTGTGTCCAAGTTTCGTTAAAAGTTATGCATAAAAAGGATGCAAAGCTCGAATAAAAATACTAATTACTACAGCTATTACCGCTAACGTACAACATATAAATGAAAATTTCAATTATACATTTTTTTTCATTTTATTTTCGTTACGTGAATGACACAATTATTAGCAATGAGAAAGAATTTTTACAACCGGCTTCAGACACATTTAATAGTTATAATACTTACTTACAGTTCACTCATTAAGTTAAAATATAAAATATTATATATACTTTTTAGATTTATCTTTAAAACAATATAGTTAACTTATTCACAACTTTATCATAACTTAAAAAAAAACAGTATAGATGATAGAGTATTTTATATCTCTCACCAGCGATTCGCCATTATTTCAATACCTTGAATAAAAAAATTGCATTACACTAGTAAAAAATTATTAAAAAATATAATATACGTTGTATTCTTATAATGAATTATACAAAACATGTAACATTGTTAAATTGGGCAATATTTACCAGGAATGATTCTGTACTGACGAAATTTTGACTTCAAAAACTCAATTTAATCGAAGATTTTCTGTACTCATGGATAATATAAAGTAAGTAAAGGTTTTAGTTATATGAATGTTGATTCTTTCTGGCATTGTTTTATAAATCATACTACTGTTGTAGAGTGAATTTTGGAAAAGATGATCCAGAAATTCATGCAGCTGCTATATACATTACAGAACAAATAAATGCTGACAAGCCATTTTTAACATCCATTTGTCTAAAGGACTATGGAGTTTCAACTTTGAGATCTATTGTCAATGCTATTCAAAAGCTGGATCTCAAGAGTCCATAAAATGAGCACCACATTTGGTTAGTTAGTAATAGGCCCACCTGGCAGTGTCAAAACAACATACTGCACTGAAATGGGAAAATTTCTTGAGAGTTTGGGTAGAAAAGTAGTAATCATAAATATTGGTGAGTTAGTATTTTTAACTTACCATTAACTACTTTTTGCTATATTACTTAAGGCATATATTTTCTTTTTTTTGTTAAGATCCAGCCAATGAAAATATGGGGTATAAGCAGTAGATGTTTCTGAATTAGTTATAGATGAAGAAGTTATGAAAACTTAAAAACTTGGACCTAATGGAGCTTATTGTATTGAGTTTTTAGAGAAAAATATTGAATGGTTGATTAGAAAAGTTCTTAATTTCAAAAACCACTACCTTTTGATTGATTGCCCAGGACAGGTAATGAACAGATATTACTTCAGTTTATTTCTTGGAATTTAGAGCTATTATTTTATTCCTTGAATTACTATGATAGGTTTAACTATATATTCATCATGAATTTATGAACAAAATTACTGAGAAATTGAAAACAAATTTGGCAAGACTTTGCCGTGTTAATTTAATGGACTCACATCATTGTAGTGATCCAGGTGAGATACCTTTTCATTGCATGAATATTTATGTATTAATAGATATTACATATTTATTATTATTTGCAATAAAGTATCTTTCTTCATTGATGGTTTGTACGATATTCGTGGATAATTTGATAACGGTAAAATGTAAATTGTCATAAAATAAATGATAGATTTTGCAATTATTACTGAATATATATACTTCCTTTGCAGGAGTCAGATGAGAAATATAAATTATTAATCTGCTTTGATGAAAATAAAAAATATCTTCATTTTAAAGAAGTTATTGATATATTTTGAAAAGATTTAAAGTAGAACTACCAGAAGATTGGAATGTTATAGCTGATGTAAAACTTCAATGCTTTAAATAAGTGACGCATTCACAGGCTGGGCTTACAATGACATGATTATCAATGGTGTTGTATCCGAATGATTAAAACCGATTTAGCAACAGCTCTGCTTTTTTCTTCTCACTTTTCTTTTTCTTTCCTTCCTTCCTTGTTCCAAATTCCCTTGTTTTTGCACTCGCTAATGAATTTTTATTATTTAAAGTCTCGTTGACGTCCGACCTTTAATCCATCAAACGGAGAGTGAACCTACCGAATTTCTAATCAAGCTTTTTTAACAGTTTTTCTAATATTTCTTGGTCATATGATTGGCACAGAATTATTATTATCTGCGGCGCACTGGCTAGCCTTTTTATGCGCTTCTATTATATTATAGGGTAGCTACGCTTCGGTTTTTAATAGATCTATAATCAAGCTTTTGAACCTAAACTTTTGAAAGAAGCTACTTCATTAAACTTCTTATATTTAGGGTAAACTGTATTTCTTTATTATTTTTGAATTGTATAATATTATTCAAGATATATGATATTTGAATTATCAAAGCTGCTTCTATAATTCTGCTATTAATATAACAGCAATAATTGTTATTGTTCAATTTTTACTATTAATAATATATAAATACATACCACTAATAGTTAAAATAAATAGTTGAGTTAGATGAACTACGATACATCTAATATAATCACTGTGTTTCAAAAGAGTGAATTCGCTCTAGTGTATTATAATTGAAAATTCTGATCTGCATATCATTGAATATAATATTAATTATGTTCGTATAGTATATCAATATAATTAATTAATTTACAAAATTATCTATTCGTACAGCATTTACAGCTTTTCAATAAAAATGTTTTCGCGAAATCTTTTTTGAAAATGTATCACTGAAACTGGAACAAGAAAAAGAACAGCTAACTGCGGACGTACAAACGATATAAATTCGTCTCGACTTCTTGAAAATGCTTGAAAAGCTTTGATAATTCAAATATCATATATCTTGAATGATTTAATAATGTTTCCAAAACAGTTTCAGACACATACGATTATGGATGAAAATGGTTATCCACATTATCAGAGAAGAAATACCGGTACTTATGAATGTCGTAATGGACATACAGTAGATGATAGATGGGTAGTTCCATATTGTGCTACATTATTACTAATGTTCGATTGTCATATTAATGTGGAAATTGTTTCAAGTATTTCATCTGTTAAACATTTATACAAATATGTCTATAAAGGATATGATGCTGCTACAGTTGTGATTGGGCAAACAGAAAATGGTATTACGATTGAACGCGATGAATGTCATAATTTCATTGAAACGCGTTACGTTGGACCAGTCAAAGCATGTTATCAAATTTTTTCCTACAAAATGCAAGATAAGAGTCATGTAGTCACAAGATCACCAGTACATTTACCTAATGAACAAGCAGTAATTATTACGTAAAACGAAATTGAAATATCATTGTTAGCTACTTTGAACAATTCGAGTAGTATGTTACTTGATTATTTTAATTTGAATGTAACTAATGAAACAACAAGACAATATTACTATGCTGAAATTCCTAAACATTTTACCTACAGAAAATCTAAAGTTGATGGTCAAATGATTTCGTCATGGTAAGCTCGAAAAAAACATGTTAATTGTATAGGTCGCATGTATTCAGTAAGTCCAACTCAGATTGAGTTATTTCATTTGAGATTATTATTACTTCATATAAAAGGTGCTACAAGTTTCGATGACTTAAAAAAAATAAATCATGTATTATATCAATCTTTCACAGCAGCATGTTTAGCATTAGGAATTATTGAAGATGACAATGAATAGAATAAAGCTATGAGAGAAGCTATATCTTGGATGATGCCTAGACGACTCAGACATTTATTTGTTGTTATATTGATTTACTGTCAACCGATTTTTCCAGAAAAATTATGGGAAGCCTTCAAAGACTCAATGTCTGAAGATTTTTCGCGTTACAACGAATTGAATATTAGTTATCAAATGGCTTATTTAGAAATACATGATATGTCAATCAAGGAAGGAAAATGCTTAGCTGACTTTCCAACAATGGATCAAAACGTCATTACTAACATAGTCGATAATATTGATACTATTAACATACATAATCTATCTCGAATTGGCAATGAACAGTATTAAAAACTAAATGCTGAACAAAAAGTAATCGTAGATAAAATTATTGAAGCAGCACGTTCACATAATTATACTGGCTCAACTAGCTTCTACATCGATGGACCTGGAGGATCTGGAAAAACGTTCGTTCACACTACAATTTATAATCTTCTTATGGCAGAAAATATCAAGTGTTCAACAATGGCATACACTGGCATTGCTGCGACATTGCTGCCTAATGGAAAAACAGTACATAAAACATTTGGTTTAACAGTTCCAATGTTTCATGATTCTTCTTCGAATATTAAAATACAATCTAATGAAAGTATAATTTTAAAAAATAGTACAGTATTTATTTGGGATGAGGCACCAATGGCCCCGAGATACGCATTAGAAATAGTGAACATATCTTTACAATATATCATGAACAATGATTTACCATTCGACGGGAAAATAATGGTTTTAGGTGGTGACTTCAGACAATTACTTCCTATCAAAGTACATGGAACGCGTAACGAAATATTAAATTTGTCTATTAAACATTCTCAATTGTGGTCACTTTTATTTTCGAAATTTCAAGTAACAACTAACATGAAAGTTTTATCAAATGAACTTTAATTTGCTAAATATTTATTGAATGTCGGTAATGGAACATTAAATGATC